ACTCAGACACTACAACTATTAATGTAAATTTAAATGGTAAAAATCTTTTGCCAGTCTATGTCTTAGGTATATTTAATATACATATTCAGCTGTCAAATAAGAACATAATTTAATAATGCTGAAACTGATCACTTTTATGTTTTAGTTTACAATTTCTAATTAGTTAAATATATTTAAAATACAATTAAGGCTTGGAAAATGCTACTCCAAAATTTTTAATTTTAAACAGAACAGCATTTGGGACAAGTTTCTAGAGTTAATAGGGATTAATGTAAAAAGAGTTCACCTTTGAGGTCAGAAATCCTGGTTAGATTTGTCCAGAACAATTACTTCTGAATCATAAGGACCTCAGCTATAAAGCAGTAATAATATCTGCTTTCATTTACTTTATACTGATGATCTAACATTAAACAATATATATTTAAGAAATTTATAAATTCTGCCCACATGTTTAGGTCTGAGCTAGATTTTAAGCAGGTGGAGAACATTTATATGCCATTTAACTCATGAAATGTTCACTATTTAAGGCTCTTAAATATGTTACTAGAATCTAACTTCAAGGTTGTCCTCAGAATTTAAATTACACTGATTAATACAATAGAAATTACAAACTTAGATGCATAAGTACAAAAGAATCACAACATTAATGACTATATACAAACTGAAAAGCAAAACAATCATGTTCCTTAAAATATTAAATATATATATTAAAAAAAAGGATTTGGACATTTGTGTCCCAGGAAATACTGTAGCCAAAGTTGTCAAGTTTATAAATATGAACATTTGTGATTCTACCCAGAATGAAAGCAAACAGATTTTCAGAAATGCTAAAATAGGCTGCATATTATTTTGTAAGAAATGTACTTAAGGTTAATCTTGTGTTTTTCTATCATGCAGGAGGAAAAAGCAGCAGGACCTGTGGTTGCTGCCATCTCTCTTGCTAGTTGTGTGCAAACACCAGTGTTCTGGGACTGGTTCATTCACCAGCTTCTTCTATCAGTCAGATTTTAAGACCAGAGACAAGGTTAGATTATAACTTTTAGAAATGTAATAATGTGAACTGCCTAAAACAAAATGATATAAATGGTGAAACTAAAAGGATGGACAAATATACACTTATATTAGACCGATATCCAGGATGGGTTACAAATATTGATATCAGAGAATTTAACACAACATGCATTTAATATGACAAAGGATCTTTTTTTGGTTGAGAACAGGTTTTAACTCTCATAAAGATACACAATCATGAATGTTTTCTGTCTTGAAGAGACAGAAGCAAAAACCCATTAAAAATAGTATAAGAAATTGTGAGAAACATTACTTTTGTAAGAGATTAACACACTACTTGTGCTCAACTAATTAAACAAACAAAAGAGCAAGCATTTTTTGCAGAATTTGAATATTACAGCAAAGTAGATTTAGTGTTTATCAATATAAGCTAATATACAGTGTAAAAAAAGAGAATGTCCAGAAATATTTATAAAAATTGATAATGTGTTAGGCTGAAAGTAAACCTCAACAATTATAAAAAATAAAAAACTGAATGAGTCACATTCTTTGACTACAATATATTGGGTAAGATGTTACGGAAAAACCCAAATGAACTTTTCAGCCAACCCAGTAATATAACTAGAAATTAAGTGCAAAAACGGAGAAAAAAAGTCCAACTCCCTCAAGCACATAAAAAGTTCCTAAGTATTTTCGGACAGAGGAGTAATCAAAGCTATAATTGCACACTATTAAAAAGTAATGGTAAATGTAACAACCGTATCCATACCTAAGGAATACAGCCAGAAATATAAGAGGCAAATTCATATATACAAATGTCCTTATCTTAAGTAGGAAATGTTCTTATCTTTAGTAAGGAAAAAACCTGAAAAAAATCAGGATAACAAAAATAAAGGCACCTAAAAATGAGATGGAAGACACAAAAATAAAACTGACATATCAATCTTTGTTTTTTAAAAGAAAACTGAGAAAAAATAAATTATAGCTAAATATAATTTGAAAAAAAGGAAAATTCAAATGAATAAAATTAGAAATATAAAAAAGGATATAACAGATAAAGAAGATACTCAGTTTGTAAGACAGTAGTATATGTGATATCATGTCAATATATTTGAAAATATGAATGAATTCCAGGAAAAACCAATAATCAAAATAGATTAATGAAGTAAAAAAAATCTAATCAGGAAAAAATACAAAAAATTGTCAAAGAATTACCTCCAACAAAGGCTCCAGGCCTAGATGGTATTATAGCTGAGTTCTTTAAAACTTTCAAGAACAAGTAAGTCCCATGCTATATAAACTGTTCCAGAGCACAGAAAATTAGGGAAAGAGTTCCAATTCAGTTACGAAGCTGGCCTAACCCTGATAACAAAACCTGACAAAGATAGCACAAAAAAGAAAATTCACTTATGAATATAGAGGCAAAGGTCCTACAAAATATACTTGAAAAGAGAAATCAACAGTATGCTAAAAGATTACACATCCTGACATGCAGAAGACATTCATTCTAGGAATAAAAGAAGGGTTTATATTAGGTACTATCACTATATATCATATTAATAGATCATAGGAGAAGGACTGAATAATCTTAACAGATGCCCAAAAAGCATTTTGGTAAATTTCAGTATCAATTTCTCATAAAACAGCCAATACAAGTTAGAAAAGTGATTCTAAGCATCATAAAAAATTGATTGGTATGAAAATAAAACCATGGAAATTTTTGAAAAAGAGGAATCATGAGGGAAGGCTGGTCCCACTGATGTTAATTTTTAGCTTTTTAAACATTTACTGACGAAAATACTTAAAGATACTATGGTCTTGAAGTAAGAACAGAAAAATACAAAAGAAGAAAACTGAGTCCAAAGGGCTTTAGTAAGATAAAAGGTACATTTAGATTAGTATTGTGGAAAAAAAAAATTGATTATCAATAAATAAGACATGGATAATTAACCATTTAGAAAAAATTAAAATTAGTTCCTTATCTTAAGGCATTTGTTTACAAAAATAAGCATATATACTTGGTCCAGAAGGACTAAAGGGTTATACGTGAAAAATGAAATGGGTAAGAGCAAGGGAAAATACACATGGATTATTCAGCAGCTAGGGGCACTGGGAAGTTCTTGCTAAGCAAAATAGCAATGTCATAAGTTGCAAAGATGCAGACAGATCAGACTATATAAAATATCAGACTTATAAAATATTAAAATTAAATAATAAACAGTAATCTTGAAACAATTATATTTCAATAGCTAATATTCTTAATATACAATGGTTCATAAGCCAGAAATTCCAATTTTAATAATCTACACAAAATTATAGTCAAGAATATTCACTGCAGTATTATTTGTAAACTGTTTCCTCATTTAAGAATTGTGTAAGCAGTGGGGTCAAAATTTGATTAAATAATAATAAGAAAAGAAGGCATTAGAAAAAATAAAAAGAAGTAATAAGCCAAAATGTTTATTTTTAGGTAGTAAGATTACTGATGCTAGTTTTCCTTTTTCATACATTTATGACTATCTGTCAAAACTTGCATGATGAATACATACTACTTTCATAATTAGAAAAACTAACCCATTAGTCATCACTTTCATAAATACATGTGATTATCAGGCTTCAAAAGTTTCAACAAATATAAAAATTTGTAACAGTTTGTAAGTCAACTGTCTTTGCTTGTGGAAAGTCCCTTAAACCTTGTGGTTCTATTAATATCTTAATTTAGCATAAAAATACAGTTAAAAGAAAAGATACGGTCTTAGATTATAACTTCATTTATTCTCTCAAAGGGATTTTGATTTTAATGACTATTAAAGGGATTGATTTTCAAACAAATATATCTGCCATTGCAACGAACAGAAATAACTCAAAATAAAGGTTTTTCAGAGTATTTAGAACAGAATCAATTTAAGACTTGTCACTCTATGTTAGGTTTTTATTCAAGAAACCTCATTAAGGTACTCCAAACTGGAAGATGACTTGTCCAAAAGGTCTTTAGAAAAAGTCTCTTAAAAAAACCCAAATATATATATATATATATATATATATATATATATTTCATATTCTTGAGGGCAGAAGCTGTGTCTTATTTATTGTATCCTCAGAACTTCTTACAGAGTTTGAGACGGCATGTAGGTGGTATTCAGCAGATTACTGTAGATTGAGAGAATGAACTTTATAGATTTGGATCACAAGTACTCTTAGCTTTAATTTTCCTAAAGAGGAAACATCTAAAGCTGTTCAGTTAAACCTCGTACCCTTGATTTGTTTCAGACACTTTCCTTTAAACTTTCTCCAGCTCTAGTACACTTCTTAAGGTGAGTGAATCAGAATTTTGAATGAGGATAGAAAGTTTTCTTTCTAGATACCAATGATCTTAGTAAGTGTTGTTCTTTTGCATCATCTTAACAATGGTTAACAGCAGCATTTGATACTTTTCTTTCAAATTGTGTAAGGACAACACAGAGAATCTCCTTGCTTTGATATTTCAATATCCAGAAAATTTTGGTTTCATTTACTCTGCCAGAACACTCCAAATCAATTATAAATGTTAAACAAGACTAGATTTAGCATCTATTAATTTTCTCTAATCAGAAGGGCCCATTAGCCTCTATACTTGTGCTTACCACATTTAAATAAATTACATGTACAATAAAAACTGTAACTGTCTGAGTGTCTCCTATGTACAAGGCACTGAACTCCTTTGTCTGAGAAAACTCACAATATTCCAGACACTTTGTCTTCTCTCAGGTTTCTCTATGCCTTCAGATATCCCTCCTGTCATCCAGAAGAATTTTACAGAAATCCTTTCACTCAGTAATGCTGTCCTTTATTACATACACAATGAGCGAAGCTTAGAGATGGAAGGTATCTTACAGATGCCCAAGTTAAATTCTCATATACCAGCAGGATATTCACCAATGATAAATCATCATAGCCATACTTAAGCTCTTCAATACATTGCATGCCAGACATACACACATACAACTTACTTGTACTCATCATAGACTTCCTGTTTGGGCAGTGAAGTCTCAGGATGCTCCTCTAGGGTATTTCGAATCCAGGAGAAGGCATGCATCTGCTGTGCCCGACTAGATGACATGGCATTCTGATCACTAATCATAAAACAAGAACATATTTTAGCTGAACTAGACGGCAATTCACTGATAATTCTTGAGCCAGGCCTAAATGTTCCACTAAAGGACTATGTGTAAACACACAAACCAATTATCAAACCAAACTCTGGGCTTAGAGTATATGCCCAGTTTTCCAAACACAAATTGTCCACCTGTGGTTGTGAACCATTTTCTATACCTAGTGTTCGGCTGAAGTTATGGCCCTGTTCCATCCCCTACCATTGTCTCTAAAGCGGCAGAGGTGATGAGAGTACTGAAAACATAAGGTATCTGTTTAGCCCACAACTACCTCTAAGGGGACATCTGCTCACTTACTTGCCTGTTCATTTGCCTAAACTTATGAAATCATTGAACTACAAAATGAAAGTTATCGAAAACATTGTTTATTTTCTATTTGCTTAGCATTCTCAAGTTAACTGCCTGAAATTTTACTAAAGCATTCTATGCTTTGGAATGGAATTCACACTAGAGAGATCCTGACAGGTCAAATCTCCCTCCACGGGCCTTCCTGTAATTGGCCCTCCTCTCCAGACCAATGCCTTCACTAAACACTATACGTTTTTATTACCTGGCATTGTCACTTACAAACTAATTTCATGAAATGGACAACCAAGATAACATGAGGGAAGCTCCTCACTTGACTCTGACATTCATTTAAGCTAAAAAAACAATAATAATTTATATATTTCCAAATAAATTACTGACCAATTTCTAGAACAAAAAAAACCATTAAAACAGTTACAAAATTTTGTCCAAGGGGAAAAAAGAAAAAGCAGCAGATTTTTCACTCCATTTCTTTTTATACATGTGCTTTTAAAGTAAGAGAATGTTAAGCATAACTTCTATAAATGAAATGAATTCTGAGAAATACTTAAAAGGGTAGAGATCAAAGAGTGGAATGTATGAACCAACAACTTTTCTCTATATTTTCTAAATGAGGCTATTACATGTTTTTACTAATGAAAACAAAGTAATACCCAAGCACTCAAAACATCACACATTTATCATAAATTCATGTGCCATACAGACAATTCACTTTTTCCTCCCTTTTTAAAATTCTGTGATCTGCTCACCTGACAACCTAAAAAAAATCTTGCACTTTATTGCTCACAATAGTTATCTGTTTATTCTTTGATTTTTCAGTTCAATTTTCAAAATCTCCCACACTGCATAAATATATTGATCTATTTATAAAACATAAGCCAACTGCATTTCATAGCATTTACTCAGGTACTCTACTAACTGTGAAAAATTCTGAAAGAGATGGGAATACCAGACCACATGACCTGCCTTTTGAGAAACTGGTACGCAGGTCAGCAAGCAACAGTTAGAACTGGACATGGAACAACAGACAGGTTCCAAATAGGAAAAGGAGTACGTCAAAGCTGTACATTGTCACCCTGCTTACTTAACTTATATGCAGAGTAAATCATGAGAAACGCTGGGCTGGAGGAAGCACAAGTTGGAATCAAGATTGCCAGGAGAAATATCAATAACACCACCCTTATGGCAGAAAGTGAAGAAGAACTAAAGGGTCTCTTGATGAAAGTCAAAGAGGAGAGTGAAAAAGTTGGCTTAACGCTCAACATTCAGAAAACTAAGATCATGGCATCTGGTCCCATCACTTCATGGCAAATAGATGGGGAAACAGTGGAAACAGTGGCTGACTTTATTTTTCTGGGCTCCAAAATCACTGCAGATGGTGACTGCAGCCAAGAAATTAAAAAACGCTTACTCCTTGGAAAGAAAGTTATGATCAACCTAGACAGCATATTAAAAAGCAGAGACATTACTTTGTCTACAAAGGTTCGTCTAGTCAAGGGTATGGTTTTTCCAGTAGACATGTATGGATATGAGAGTGGACTGTAAAGAAAGCTGGGCGCTGAAGAATTGATGCTTTTGAAGTGTGGTGTTGGAGAAGACTCTTGAGAGTCCTTTGGACTGCAAGGAGATCCAACCAGTCCATCCTAAAGGAGATCACTCCTGGGTGTTCATTGGTAGGACTGATGTTGAAGCTGAAACTCCGAAGAGCTGGCTCATTAGAAAAGACCCTGATGCTGGGAAAGACTGAGGGCAGGAGAGAAGGGGACGACAGAGGATGAGATGGTTGGATGGCATCACCGACTCAATGGACATGAGTTTGGGTAAACCCCGGGAGTTGGTGGTGGACAGAGAGGCCTGGCCTTCTGCGGTTCATGGGGTCGCAAAGAGTCGGACAGGACTGAGCAACTGAACTAACTGACTCAAGTACATAAACGTACCCAGGTACACAAATAAATTAGCAAAAACTATGGGTAAACACTTAACCAAATATGATCAAAGACTAAAATATCTATTGTTTTGCCAGTCATTTTCTGATGATTTTAGGAATAGTGCAAAACAGTTACAACCACAACACACATATAAACACTGTAACTGAGGCAAAGACAAGAAGAGATATACCTTTTCTCTCCATTGCTGAGACCAGAAGGCAGCTGAAGGTAGAGGTAGAGTTTCTCTAGGTCTGTAAACTTCTCAACTTCTTGCTGTTAGTTAAAAAGGATTAAAAAACAAAGATCATTTTAAAAATTGTTTCTCCCTCAACAAAATTTACTAACATCTTCCTAAAAAAATACTATCTAAATTTAAACCAGATGGAATGAGTCACTTGCCAAAGCAAACAAAATCTAGGCTTTTTTCTCATCAGTAAAATAATAAAGTCATGTTGTCTGACAAATTTATTGCATATAAAATGTTGATTAGTAAGAGAAAATGGTACTTTCCTATTAATTATTACATCCTGGGTATAAAGTAAATCAAATCAATGCTGAGACAAAAATTCCTCATTTTAAACCACACTTAAAGAAGGAGGGTTGTACAATATTACAGGAAAAGTACTAGACTGGGAGTCAAGAGACTATTTACTAATAGCCTAACCATTTAACTGGTTTTGAGACTTCCATGCCTCCTTAGCAGGTTTTCCTTAAAAATGTAAAATGAATGAGATAATTCATAGGATCCTTTTCTAATTCTCAAAAATCTAGAACATGTGACTAATGATACTACTGTCAATGGGGGTGGAACTGAGGTTTAAAAATCCAGTTATTCCTCAGTATCTGTGGATAACTGGTTCCAGGAACTCCCTTCTCCCCCACTGTGGATACCAAAATCCACAGATGCACAAGTCCTTTAACATAAAATGGTGGTATACAGTTGGTCCTTCTTAAACACTATAACCAAGGAATCAAATGTGATCCAGGGTTGGTTGAAACTGCAAGTGCAGAACCTGTGGATCCAGAGGACCAACTGTACCAAAGTACAAACAGCAGCCCCTTTCACACAACGCAGATGTAATTATTCTCTGACTTGCAACAGTGGATGCTATTCGCAGAATCTATTTGTAAGATCACCTCTGTCACTACTGTTCTGCAACTTTGTCATTTTATCTATAAATGTAACCTTTAAAATAATTTCCACTATTCAGAGGGCTGTATAGTTGTCTTTCCCAGCTGAGTTTGCCACAAGATAGTTTTAAATCTGCCATAAATCCTAATGCAATAAAAAGATATGTAACATTTTGGCAACCTAACTCATTACAATTGAATTGCACTGCAATGGAAAACATGGACAGATTACAGGCATTTTTGGTGGCAGAATCCTTACATAATAAAGTACAACTAAACATAGATCCGATTTATTTAAAAAGCTTAAACTGATATAATTTAGCCTTATTCTTATTCTCACCAGAATTCATTCAAAAACAGTTTAATCTTAGAATCTATCCACAGAATGATTTAATCAATTACATGCAATCAACTCTCAAATCTACACTGTTTTCATTCTACTGTCTATGGGTATTTTCCAATTAGTTCTAATATCTGATAGACTGACCAGCAATGTCTTATATAACTTCCCCCTCGACAACAACAACAAAATCCTACAGAAACACAGACAGTTCCTTTCAAAACTGTTATTTAACATCTTCTTTTCTCTAGTTTCCCAGTGTTCAGTTTCGGAGTCTGCCTGGTTTTGTTCCTCTTGGTGTGCTCCATTCTAACCCTCCATTTACACTTCTTAACTCTTTCCCCCATGTTCTTCCAGTCTCTTTATTTTCCCAACCACTACATTAGTTTAAGTCTTTAGCTGTCTTTCTCTCAACAATGAAGGATAATTCATTTACTCATTTATTTATTCACTAAATTTATTTTTTGCAACATTCCACAAATGGTAAGTGTTAACTTATATTGTGTATCACAACCTATATAAAGGCTGGAAATAGATGAACAACACAATAGTCCCTGCCATTAAGGAACTTACAATGATTCTTGAGTTGCTGAAAATATCTAACTATCTGTTTTGCCTGCATCTATCTTTCCCCACTTTAATCTGTCTTAAATATAGTTCCTAAAATACCTCTTGTTGAATATTATTAACATCACCCACTTAAACCCAACAGAGCCTTTCACATTAAATCAAAAACAGTTTATGTTACAAAAAACTCATGAGTATTACTACAGGCAAAGGTCTTAAGAAAATGCAACACAAAACATCTTTTTTCCCTCCTTGGGTAAACTCCCTTTCTTAACGGAATATTATTCAGCTATAAAAATGAGTGAAATCTTGCCATTTGTGGCAACATGAATGGACCTTGACGGTACTGAGATAAGTAAAACAAGTCAGACAGAAAAGGATAAATACCATATGATCTTCCTTTTATGTGGAATCTAAAAACAACAACAAAACAGACAAAACCCTTGAGCCCATGGATACTGTAATGATTGGTGGCAGCCTGAGGTGGGGGAGGGAGTGTAGGTAGTGGGAGTGGAAGAAGGTGTCATAAGGTACAAATTTCTAGTTATAAAATGAGTAAGTCACGGGGATATAATGTATAGCATGGTGAATATAATTTGAAAGTAGCCAGGATAGATCTCCAAAGTTCTCATTATTAAAAAAAAACTTTTGTAGCTACGTATTGGTGACAAAGGTTAACTAGATTTATTGCAGTGATCATTTTATAATACAAGCATACCTTGGAGGTACTACAGGTTCAATCTTAGACCACCACAATAAAACAAATACCACAATAAAGTAAGTCACATCAATTTTTGGTTTCTTAGTGCTTATAAAACTTATCTTTGCTCATGCTCAGTCGCTAAGTCGTGTCTGACTATTTGTGACCCCATGAACTGTAGCCCACCTGGCTCCTCTGTCCATGGAATTCTCCAGGCAATACTGGAAAATGTATTGTCATTTCCTTCTCTTAATACAGTCTATCAAGTATGCAACAGCACTGTATTTAAAAAACAAGGCACATACTTTAATTAGAAGTATTTTATTGCTAAAAAGATGCTAACCATCATCTGACAATGCAGGCAGGCTCACCACAAACCTTCAATTTATAAAAAATAATATCTGCAAAGTGTAATAAAATTCAATAAAACAAGCCATGCCTATATATACAAATACTGAATCATTATGTTGTACACCTGAAACTAATGTTACTTCAGTTACATGTCACTTAAAAATATCAAACAAAAACCCCCACCATTTTTGATGACTAAGAATAAAAAAACTTTATATTGTTGGAAAAACTTTGGTTTCTATAGTTTTCAACTTTTATATATACTAGAGAAAAGAACAGAGAAGAAATTCCATAAGAAATTCAGAAGATAATCCAAATTAGGATAAAGTACCAAAGAGATGATTCAAAGATGGAATCAAAAAAAGATCAAACTCACTGCTACACCCTTTACTTTGTCTTTCAAACAGTGAAAAATTACTACTGTCAATTACTCTTTTGTTATGTGGGACTCAACACACAGAAGAAAATAATTGAAGAGTTTACTAAAACTGACATCAAAATTCTAAGAAGCAAATGAAAACAAAATGACTTAAGTGTACAGTGATGGCATTCTAGTCCAGTGAAGCTGAGTTTACCACGAGAATTTTGGTTTTGGATACACCTGTCACTTACAGCTAATCACTGGCCTCCAAAACAATGATCCGTGGTGTATAAGACCTTAACTTTGTTTGACTATACCAAGGCAAGAATATCATGTGGTGCAAGTAAGTTAAACATCAGATTATTTGATATACTGTGTAAAGATTTAAACATCAAGAGTAAAGTTTTCTGTTCCATGTGGAGATTCATTAATTGTCAAAAAGCAGCATGCTTGATGGATTTATGAAATGCAGGACAAAGCTGCTTTATTTTTAGAGCATTAGAAAAACTGCATACATTTTTAAAAATTATAATTTTAAAATTCTGCCATAAAATGCAATAATGCATTAATATATGCTACAACGTGGATAAACCTTGAAAACATTATGCTAGATGAAGGAAGTCAGACACACAAAAAACATTTATCAAATGCTTTCACTTTTATGAAATATCCAGAACAGTCAAATCCATGGAGAGAGAAATATTAGTGGCTACCAGGGACTGGGAGGAGGGCACTAAGAGGACTGATTGCTTAGTGGGTTTCCTTGGGGTGATGAAAATGCTTCAGAACTGGGTAGAGGTGATGTTTACATAACACTGTGAATATGCTAAATAGTACTAGTGATAAACTTTATGTTATGTATATTTAACAACAATAAACATTACAATTTTTAATAGAGCTTGATATATGTGGCAGACATATCTGAATATCTGAAACTTCAAATGACAATTATCAACATCCCTATTTATTAGACCTAAAAGTCTTCATTTTCTTGAGTTGAAGAAGTTAAGTTCTCAACAAAGAGAAGTTCTCAAAGCAAAGTTATTAAAAGTGCCTTCAAGTTTAGGGGGAACCTCAAGTACTATCTAATTTGTTCAATGAACTAAGGTGATAAGTTCCCACTACTGTAGTTGAAAATCTTGCCCAAAAGCTTACGAGGCTTCTCTCTTTTTAGTTCAGTCTTTGCAAGAAGATATCAAAAAGGAATCTTGCAACTGAAGTTTGATTCAGATATCAAAGACATTCTAGGAAACCACTCTGAAGAATTTTTGGCAAAAATCTCCGTTTATTCCCAAGTAGGTAAGCAGATCTTGTGTGTCAATCATCCCATTTACATAAGCATACCTTTATACAGGTGGTTTTTCAGAAACTTTGAGTATGAAAACTTTGAAAAGCAATATTACAGACCTAATGTTGCAAATGGCCTAGATAGTGCTTTGCCCTTTCACATCCTAGATAGAAAAGTATACAGCAAACAATCAGATTCCAATACTGAGGCCACCTGATGTGAAGAACTGACTCACTGGAAAAGACCCCGATGATGGGAAAAACTGAAGGCAGGAGAAGGGGACGACAGAGGAGGAGATGGTTGGATGGCATCACCGACTCTATACTCCGGGAGTTGGTGAACAGGGAATCCTGGCGTGATACAGTCCATGGGGTCACAGAGAGGCAGACACAACTGAGTGACTGAACTGAACTGAATATCCTTTTCCCCACTTTGTGGCACCTTGGGAGTCCTGTGTTTCAGTGGTGAGGCTACAACATGGCAATGTCTGTCAATGTGGGTTCCTGTGGGAGGAGCAGGGGCCTCCGGTGATGTG